TATACTTATATTTTTTTATGAATACCTATTCATAAGTATTGCTTTTAAAAGTTAAAGATAAGAATGGTTTTAAGCATCGACTATGAATACGGCCATAATGGCCATAATTACATTTTTAGTTTTATTTAAAAATAATTCAAATATTTAAAAGTTTCTTTAAAACTTAAAACTCCATGAGATATAAGTATTATTTTTATAAAAATATATTTATAAGATACATATTTTAACTAATTTATTATATTAGATGCAGTCGACAAGAAGGTTCCCAAAGAAACTAGTTAAAYGTACTGTTATTCAATCAATTCAAACATGGTTTCCTAGAGCGCCCTATCAGTAAGTGTTTTTATATTATCATTATATATGCAGTAAAACCTCCTTTAAAGGACACTCTCTAAGTCAGAAACTGTCTTATAATAAAAAATTTCTATAACACTATATACATATTATTATTGCAATACTATATTTATGAAAAACTTTATAGAAGGAAATACTACGAGTTCGAAGGTTTTACTGCATTACATTGATTTTGAATGAACATACATATTATATATATATTCCTCGCCTAATCACAAATAAATGATTCCTTACACTATTATGAGATATAATGTCAATCTACGGCCAACTATTAACTGAACAACCATAACTGGTAATGCAATCTGAATGTAAATAACAATTTAGGAAAATTAGATTTTCTACTGTCAAAAACTATATAGTTTTACTTCGACATTCTCTTGTGAAAAAGGGAAAATGTATATCAGCCATTAAAAATTATTTGATTAAGTATTTTTTAACTTTTATACCATAATTTATATAAATACTTCCAACAAAACAATTTATTTTACATCTACAAAATAATATTTGAGTATTAAATTTCTGTTTCTATTTTAAATCTAAACAAAATGCAAACATATCATAATTTGAATAATTTTAAGATGAGGTATATCATATAGATTTTTGTAATTAATGTAGGCATATAATATTCTTTTTTAAAGGATTGAAGCCGTATTAAAAAAAAAAACAGGATAGCACTGGAAACATCACAGCTAATCAAAATTCTGACAGTCAAAAACATGACGATCAAGCGGTCATATAAATGCACTAACTTAATTAATTTTCATTATTTTTTTCACACAGATCCAGAATTATTATTTGTTATTTTAATATTACAATTTACTAATAAAGGAACAATGGATATATTCATATCACTTTTTCTTATTATTTATAGATATAAGCAATAAACACACAACAGGTACAAATATAAGTACTTAATATAACTTCACTGATATTTAAAAACATTTAATAATAGTTAAAAAATGTTTTTTTTTTAGAGTATAAAATATTTTTAAATGATTTATAAGAATATTTTTAAATATTTTTTAAATGATTTTTAAGAATTTTTTTAAATAATTTGAAAATAGTTAAAATGTTTTTAATAAACATTTATTTCATATAATTAAAATATATTTTAACATTTTATTTTCAATGGAAAACTGGCCATTCGAACATTTTATTAACCTTTATAAAATAACTTATAAACCTTTTTCTATCATTTTTTTAAAACATTTAATAAATATTTTTTTGTTACTTAGGTACACTCTCATTATAAAGTAATATTTATTTTGATTTCATCAGATCTAGTTTTTATGTTACAATTTTTAACAGTAAAATCATTGGCAAGTATTTGTATTACATCATAATCAACTTTATTAATTCAAACTTATAAATTATAATATAATGTAGACCACTTTTTAATTAAAACATAATATACCTAATATAAATAATAATATTATGCKTAATATATACTACATAATATTATAATGTAGTAAAATATAATATATATAATAATATATAAGATATAAATAATAATATTGTGAAGATATAGGTAAATACAATAATAAATATAAAACAACATATTACTGGTGTTTAAATAATATAACTTTTGTTAGGTGTGACCTAATTCTATGTTTCGACTGGCTTAGCTCTTTATTGTGGTGGTGTAGGCTAATGACAATATATTTTTTTATAATTAGTTTTATAATTTGTAGAACATGGTTGTTTCTTGGGGACTGACATAAAATATGTTCATTTAAACAATTAAACAAATTTTTTATATTAATATTAGCCATTGTTTTAACTATTAAAAAATTGATTGGATCTTCTAAATGTTTTGGCACTTCATGAATTCTTGACACAAAAGTTTTTTCAATTAATTTACAAATTTTAATTGCATCAATTGATGGTTTTATGAGTCCTCCTCGATTTTTGATGTCTATCAGTGTATGGTTTTTAGTCGTATCTTCAAGAGCATTACAACATGTTGGACAATTAACTGTTCGTTTTAATTGTTTGATCACAAATCCTGAAAAATGTTCAATGACATCTTTATAAACATTTATCTCTTCTGTTTCATTATGTTGATCATCATCATCATTATACTCTTCTTCAAYACAAAGTATATCCTGAAAGTTTTCTACTTTATTCTTCATACTACTTGTAACATGAAGTAACATGAAGGATCTTAGTGTTATCTAGGACTGAACAATTTGCATTTTCAGAAATAGATAGTTCACTGTGCACCAATTATCTTTTATAGGCAGCACTGTGAAGCTGTCGGGTTGTTATTAAAGCCTCCTTTTGATCTAATAACCGAAAATAGAATCTCTATATGGTCTTGAGATGTTTTATAAGAAAGGATAAAACTTAACTGTCCGGTCTTAACTACATTGTCAAACAACCTGCCTAGACACACAATTAGCCCATCAAATTTAGTTTTCCGTGGAGATGTTAATATAGCTGAATGATTTCTATCTTTTATTGTATTTAAGTATGCTATAGATGAACTAATAAATTGTTTTAAATCTTTGTGATGTTCTAAATAAAGAGGTCTCTTATATTGAAGTTTGCTCAAACAATTTCTGGTATTTAAAAAATCAAATATATTATTTATATTCTTTCAAAATGTTATTGTGGATTCATAGTTATCAAAATTTGCAATTTTTTTCAATTTACAATAAAACAGAGCATCAGCAACACTATTGCTGAACACTTGCGTAGCCAAGCAAACCTTCATTATTTCCTTTTTGTAATTAATGTGCCTCCTTCTAACTTTAGTGGCTAAATGAACTCCCTCATATTCTTGTAGTTTCACTAATTCTTGTATGTACTTCCATGCAATAGGGTTATCATTGGAATCATACAATACACCATAATCTCCAAGGGTATTTCTGWTCAGTTTTACCATGTGAGCCGGGTCCAAAAATATGCAAATTTCTTCATTGGTCAATGAATGTGAAAACCATGGTGTACTACTATAAAGATCTGTCCCTAAATGTCTGGCCATAGAAATATTAGAGACAGCTCCATCAAATGTCAGTGTTTTGACAATTGCACCTTTATCATGTATATTAATTAAAATTGTTTTGAGTAAGTTAGCCTTCTCTTCTGCAGTTAGTCCATAAATCAAAAAATAAGCAACTGGGATATTCCAGTGGAAATTCAAAGCAACAACCAAAAAAACAAGAGCTTCAATCATGGCATCGGAATCATTTATCTTGTGTCCAACACTGATATACCCCTGAAGATGCTGACCATTAAAATTAATTCCACTTCTTATGAACATTTCGTCCATAATTAAGTCACAAATTAGATTTAAATTTTTGTTTTTCATCTCCTCAACTTTGACTTTAATTGCATCCAATAATTCTGCAGTTATTCCAGGCGATCCATCAATTACAGAGTACCATTTTCGAATAGCTAGGATGTGACAAAYATTTATTAAAACTTTTTCTTACATAATTATAAGCATTAGGTGAATAAAGATGAATAGTGAGCGCAAATGATCGCAAATGATGGCTTTATTGTTTTACCCGAGAGTTGATTCAGCTGTTTCAAAATCATTTCATGCTGACTACTTGACAACGTTTCCTATTTATTATACCAAAGCCAAAGAATAAGCAAACTAAATATTACTACACCAAACGCTAAGGTAAAGCAACAGATACTTATAAATATTTTTACCTTCAGAACAGTGTAGCAGTTATTCGATATGAATTTTTTGTCATGTTTCAGATGATCTACCAAGTTTTCTAGTGTCTGGATTCGTTTTTTTAAGTCTGCTGTTTGCTTATGTAACTACTTAATTCGCTTTCTCTGATTACTTGTGGTCGCTTGTGAAGCAATCCAGTACTTCAATCTGCTGTTTGGGCTCTCAATATCATCAGGGGATTGAAAATCTCCCATAAAACATTTTCTTTTTCTCAACCTGATAATAAAATTAACAATAGTTTAAGTTTATGTTTGACAGTCTTGAAAATTGTTCTCTTTTGTTTGTAAATTAAAATAAACATATTTTAATATTATTGAAATCATAAGTTTTAGTATAATTATTGCAGTCACACAATCATATTTTTTTGAAAATGGTAATGATATTACSGTTATTCTGCGACTTTATTTAATGGTTTTGTAAAACTTAYGGTTATGAGTTTAATTTTTTCTCAACTGTACTTGTACTTTGTGACAATGATGTAGAAATTACAATATTAGTACCTTGTAGTACTGATGAAGGTGAAACAACATTTGAATTCGGTTTCGCTACAGCTGAAATAAAAATAGCAGAAATCATCGAAAACAAAATCATACTACTCACATTTTAAGAAAAAGATAAATTTGGTAATCATACTTGACACGGGAGTCAATAATGGTTCAAATTTCACATCATCAGATGACAATGTAATAATTTCAGTTTCTTCATTGTCATCAGAAACAATTGACTCATTAAACAGTGTTGTACGTGCAGCTATAGTAAATAAGTAATAACTAAAAACAAATTATTTTTTAATAACATGGACGGATCCATGGGGGCATAGGGGCCCCCCCACGACATATTTTTTTTATAAATATAAATAATAAATATTAAATAATCAATAATTTATTTATCACATTGATTACCTACCTACTATTATGACAACATTTTTAAATTAAGAATAAAGTATAATATTTTGTTATACCCAATTGTATTTGTGTTGTAAAAAAATTGTT